GCAGACAGCACCACATGACCTGCTAAGCACCACTGATTAGCCACCCTGTCTTCTCTGCTCCACAACAGGTAGTCACTGATATCTGCATGTCTGGGGGGGGTTGGCCAGCCAGCTGGCTTTCTCCTAGAGCTACCATTAGAGATTCTCTCCAGTCCTCCCCTATCTTCTCCACTATCACCTCAGATTTTTACTACCGGGTAACATTACCTGCGGTTATATCAGTCTGTGCTGCTGTTTCAATGTTAAGTGCTGTGCTGTTATTTTTAATGTTGCACGGTGGTGAAATTCAGGCTGAATAATGGCCAAGGCAAAGCCTCAGCAGACTGGATGGGAGATACCAGGTCCAACTGCATGGGGCCATACAAGGTTAAATCTGGATCGATCTAATTGCGATGGAGAACCCAAGGCCCACAATGACCTTACTCATTAATTATACATTATCACATAGCTGTGGTACTTTGAATATTGTGGCTTCAGGGCAGCGGGAAGATGCCAGTGAGCCGGCACCGGTACCACATGGGGCTGGGGGCAGGGCAGACATATGGGCGACTGAGGGCTCTGACAGCCTCCTGCCATCTGTCTGCAGAAACACGGTGCCAAGGGGCGGTCGGGGCCTGGTGCCCCTGGTGAAGCCTGTCCAGCTACAGGCTCAGCTCGCTCTACACCACATATTTAGCAGCTTGGTAATCACCAAAACAAAAGGGGGGCTGGTGGAGCTTCTGGCCCGGGGGGGGCGGGCTTTGATGTCCCCGTTCCTGCGGACTACGCAAAGCCTCTTGCCGGCCTGTTTTCACGTCACTACACTGGGTACTAGACATGCTTCATCTGTGAGAAGCACCAAACATGGAGAATGTTCTTATGCAGGACTTGCGGGGTCCTGGCTGCTTTGACTCATGGCTGCATTAATCGGCAAACGATCATCACGGACGTGAGAGCGAGGACCAGCATTCCCTTCTGCTCACCTGGGCGGGCAAGTGAGTCCAGGAGGAAAGGAGGCAGGCACTCTGGCCTGCAACCGGGGGGGGAGAAGCAGCAGCAGACACCGTACCGTCCCCGGCGTTCACACAGAGGGAAGGAGGGTTTTGGGGATGTGCGGGGGGGACAAACCCAGCCTTAACTCTGGCACTTTGCGTCTCCCCCCACAAGATGGCGAGGAAGGGGCGCAGAGACGGCCCCCATGGCACCTCCACGCGGCGGGGGCTCGGAGGAGGAACGTGGGATCTGCTGGTTAAGAGTCAGATTTGAAGAACGAGAGGTGCCGGTCAGACGATGGCGAGATTAGGGGACACGCATCCACATTCAGTCCTCCTGGGGGTGGGAGGGGCCGACGGCGCTCGCAGTAGGAGTGGGGTTCACAGCCCGGGGTGACATGGCTGGCGTCTCTACAAGGCTGCAGAGAAAAACACCTCCGCATCTGTACCTTGGACACCCTTCCGGGAATGACAAGCCGGGCTCATTCGCTTGCTCACCGATCTTCATCGTTAACAGACAGTAAAAGCGAAGCAAAGTGACCCATCGACTCGACGCCACTTCATTGTGGGCACTGCGCTAACTAGCTGCTCCTAAATTGCCATACAAGCTGAGTGTAAGAGGCACTTAGCCTGGGCTGCCCGGCTGCTGTAGCCGCTGTGTGCGAATCCCACACTGTGAGATTATGTTAATCTCCATGTGCGGAGTCAGATGGAGGCTCATTACGAAGCTCATGCCTTACTGCAGCTCACAGGTGTATTGCTAAGGCCTACTACTTGCTAAATCCCCACAGCAGGACTGGCTGGGGAAGGGGGACGGATGGACAATGAGATTAAGGACTACTTGGGGGGTCTTTTGAAACCAGTTGGGTTGGAGTTGTGCTGTCTTTTCCTCCCTGGCTGTGCCCCGACCTCTGAAGGAGCTGCCTCAGACAGATCCCTAAATCACCAGATGGGCTGAGTGGCAGGGCAGACGTCCACGGAGAGGCTGACGCGGCGCCGGACGCGGGGGGAGGAGGCCTGTGTCTCGGCTCACGTGCGCCAGGCTATTTTAGACGCCGACGGAGCTGAAAATGGCCGTACAAATCGATGAGAGAGCCGACCGGGTGCCTGCGGACACTGCAGAAGGAACACCTTCATCGAGCCAAGACAGCACAGCCCCCCCCCATAGAGAAAGCCTTCCCTAAACGGGAGAGTCTTTGGGGTGGGGTGGGGGGGGGTACTGGATTATCACAATAACCGCACTGTCACCCGGCATTACTCTCATGCGCCATCTAGGCTTTAATCAATCGTTCAGTTCTGGAGTTATGCTTTCAGCCTGAAACTGGCTATTCCAAAGGTGAACATCATCATCCATTTCCCATGGTTATTGGGGTGGAGGCCATGTGAATCTGACATGTACTTGATTTATGCGCGATTAATCCACTCACAGAGTACATCTCCACTGCAAAGCAGCAAGCATCAGCCGGGCCTTTCAGCCAGTGAGCAGCCGGCTAAGTCTTGGGGCCCGTGTGCTGAGGCCACAATCGGGGAAGTTTGACACTCAAGCGCTACTTGTTTCCGTAGCTGCATTTCAAGTGCCTCCGAACATCTGGCTGGCCGGCAGTAAAAGGATCTCCGCATCAATTCGATGCCGATCTCAGGACCTGGGCGATTTATACTGGCCCCCTCTGACTCACCTCTCCCCTCCCCGGTTACAGAAACCGAATGAAGGAAGTATCCTGAGACTGAAAATTCAATAGGCCAAACTGGCTAGGATATACACGCCCATCATCTCAGTGCAGATGAGGATATCTGATAGCACTGTGCGGGGGCGGGGGCGGGGGGGCGGGGGGGGGGGGGGGGAGGGCAGAAAGGGTTTACTCTCAAGTGACCTTAAGGAAATAAGTTCCTAATAACAAAATGCTACAAATACCCAGGATATATCCCTGTCCCATGCAACAAAGATCTCAGCACTTAGGGAGATGCATCCGTCGGGTCATTTACGTAGAATGTACCAATTTATGCAAAATGTATTTATTGGATGTTAAGCAATGAGGAAGAAACAATTATATAACCTATGTATCACTCAGTTATACTTTGGGTTCCCTGACAATGTGACTAAACGTGTGATTTTAGAGCTGAAGTGGGTGTTGCATTTCTTGCAAGGAAAAGTTGAGGGTAGTCATAACATAACAATGGAATGTAACAATGTTACAGCCTCACTTGTGTGGGGTATTAGGTTTCACTGCTGGAGGGAAGAAATTAAAAACATATTTCTGGAAAAAATATTCCGGCATGTTACCCACCCCCCCCCCCCCCCTCCCCCACATAATTTCTAAGGGCCTCCCTGGGTGATTCTGGATTTCCCGGTGTTGGCCCTCCGCGTCGCCCACCTGTCAGTGTCATGAGAGGGAGAGAGATTCTCAGTGACGCACACGGAGGACGAGGGAAACAGCTCGGCAGGTACACGGCCCCCCCACCCGAGGCTGGCATCACATCCATGAGGCCTGGCCTGTATTTACAGCTACTGTGCTCCTTCACCGTTAGCGTCGGCCGGCTTCTCTCTAGCTCGCCGTTTCTGTCCTAGTCTGCCTTCCTCTTTAAATAATGGCAGCATACCGTACATACAACCATAACCACAACTGCCATTAGTGCCAAGTGGAAGCTCTCCCGTGTCAGCTGGTGGGAGCACTTCCAGCAGGATTTAAACATGAGAAGACGGCTATTCGGATGGACCTTTAGGACTGTGAGGCCAGGTATTGATTACGGCACCCGGCATCTCCGGCTAATCCGGCCGCTAGCGGCACCCTGGGTGGCCCAGAGCCGGAAAGTGAAGAGTGAGGATTAAGCTGCTTATGTTTCAGATCCAAGCCCAGGGCACCGAGCTCCAGCGCAGCGTAGTGCAGTGCTGACCCCAGCCTGACAAAGTCTCACGCCGACTGGCATTACTGCACAGGGAGCATCTTCAGGAAAAGACGTCTTCAGGCTGCAACAGCTCTGGCCGGCTGACTGCGAGTGCAGCTGATGCGCATCCAAGATGCACCCGTGAGCAGAAGTGTGTACGGGGACCTCTGCACACACGTGGCGGCTGCACGTGGCCGCCGCACTAATGTACATTCACACCACACACACAACCCAAAGTGCCTTCCCTATTTATATATATATATATTAATAGTTTCCCCCAGGTGCCTGTCTTTATTTATCTACATATAGTGTATTTATATACTCAGACACACACCCAGTCTTCAGTGCCTATTCATGTACACTACTCATTTATGTATTACACACACACACACGTCTCAGGGCCAAGGGACAGCCTGTTGCTGAGTCAGGGACCATTTCTCGGCATAGCGGGGACCTGCAGTCATCACGCCTGCTCAGGATACCGGACCCTGCACATGCCTGCTCGTCACCTGGACCTTTGGCAGAATCCTCTCCCTGACCCTGCGGTGGTGAAGGGTGTTCAGCTTGCTTGATGGGAGCTATTCTCCTGTGTCTCTAACTCAACACTGACCCAGCTACTGACCACACCACCTAATGATATGGAGGGGTCATCATTTAAAATCCACTGCATTAAACTATTATAGGTGCTCATCTTGCTCCAATCAAGCCCTTTTCTTTACCAAACGTTCTTACTTGTGATGTTTTTCCCTAATAACTGATGTGTGTGGCGGTGAGGATGTGGATGTCAGCAAGTCAGCTGTGGGGCCCACATGATGGACAGGTCGGATGGCCAATGAAAGCTGAGGACAGTGGGGCTCGTCGCACGTCTGACATCACAGTGAGTTTGCATATTCGGATGCAGTGTGATTGTACAAAACACAGTTTCATCTTGTCATGGTGGTTCTGTGTATAAATATGTGAATACAGTTTATGATTATTCCAAATTAACAAGAAAGGATATTAAACAACATATCAGTGGATGGACATAAACAGTTTCTTAATGTATCTAAGTGTCGTAACCTAAGCATTCATATAAAACAAAAAAATAACAAAACTTGATCTGTCAGTTGTTTGTTTCTACTTAACTGGAAAACTTCAGCTTCTTACCTGTGGGTTTTATGTAATACTCTTCGATGTCAGCCATGTCCGTGTGAAGAACGCAATCGAGATAGGCGAGGATAACTTTCCTACTGAAGTAATACCGCGCACCCAATAGAATGAACGGCACGCCGCAGGTCAGCGTGAAGGATTTGGTCACAAGAAAGCACATTACTATGGAGATAAGGAAGAAAAATAAACGACACCTGTCAGAAAAGAGAATCAAATGTTGATTGACGGAATTGACCCAGAATGCACACAGATACATTCAAAATGTAAAACAAGTTCTTACAAAAATATATATGCATTAATTCCACAGTAATTCTATATGCTCAATATCAAGAATTCAATCGAATAAAACATTTCAAAAACATAAACTTATCTGAGATAAACCGAACTTGCTGATAATATTCTAATTAAATTTAGACATAGAAATGTGGCTGTATGCACATACGTATTCAGAGACTCACGCCTTTTAGAAGTTCACATTGGGGCTGTATTTCCCACACATCCTCACATGGGGGCGCTTGTGCAGAGAGACCGGCACAGGCAGGCTGCGCATCACTGCATGTCTTGTGCTTCCCCCATGGCTGGGGCCATGCAGTATGCCGTCACTCCACTGCACCACGATGTGGCATGTTTACTGTGAGCATGCGACTTTATTTCTGATTGGCCTGCAGTATGTGCGTACATACACATTTTTACTCAAAAGCAAAATATTAACGTAAATTGCAATAAACCGATGTGTCCGGACAGTTGCGCGTCTCCATCACTTACCACGTTACAGACATACGCCTGGCGTATACATTGTTTTCATTTTGAGCGGTCGGACGTACATTTATATAGAGAACGTGGCATGTTGTTATACTGTTTTCTGCTCAGTCAATGAAAGATGAAACCATTTCCTTTACTGCTAATTGCAAAGCAGGGCGCTACCTATATCAACAACCACAATCATTAGTGAAACACGTAAGTTTAAACGTATCTGACAGTTATGGACAGTCACCGTGAAAATTAAATCACCTACTGCCGTGCACTAAGTGTAAACACGATGATCATGCGTGATCTTTAACGTCGCTGCATTGGGGAGCCCGGCGTGCGCGCGCGGACCGGCTCTGTGAGCTCGTGATGAAAGCGCCCGCGCGGACTGTGGGCAGATCCCTCATTCATTCATTCATTCATTCATGCGTCCGCCCGGCGTCGTACACGCACACTGAACACATAACACTGGCTCGGCCGCTTTCCCATCGACAGCCAGGCATGCAAGCATGCATTCGCCATGCCTTTGTGTGGCCGTTTAATGCTAGGGAGTCGCATGCCGGTACCTTAAGAAAACGTGACGAACTAGACATATCAAGATACACAAATTATTAACAAAATAGAAAAGTCGCCGTGTGTATGATTTTTTTTCTTTACGCTTCAAAGCAGTTAACTCACCCTACCTTCATCCAAAACAAATATCAAAAATTAATATTTCGAATACTAATGCAAATCCATTCTATATTCGCATTAAAAAAATCTGCTGGAACGGTTTTCCATAAATATATATCATCGATCACTGGCCAGTGTACGGGCATGCTACTTACGTGTCAGAAAAGCATACAGGAATTGCGTTTGAGTTTGATGTTTAAGCCCCCGAAATGCTGTATTGGGGATTCGCTCCATTATCCCTTCACAGAAGATGCGACGGACCTCCACATGGTCCGAGCGCTGAAATTCACGGATGAATACTGTATCACTTTTCACATCTTTCCCCTCTACTGTGTTTGGGGATGGCGACGAAGAAGTCCATATTTGAGAAGAGGAAAGAATAATTGAATCTTTTTTGGTCCCAGGTATGGTGTCATGTTCATCGGCTACAATTTTTGTCTCGCAAACCATTTTTGGAGGCGAACAATGCATGCAACTGGCCTCGGCTATACTTGAAACGGGAATGAAAAAAATTAAAGATTTTTTTCCCAATGGATCTTTTAATATATCAACTAAAAGAAAACGGCGAATGCAATGCTGCAACCCTGAGCTCTCTCACGACCGGGAGAAAGCGGTGCATTTTAAGCAGTACTTATAATGCTGTATAGCGGACGAATTCAGGTTCTGGGGCCATGGTGGCCTGCTCGTTTTTGATTGGTTGCGCCGGTGCGCCACGTGACGCCGGGAGGTGGAGTCAGGCAAGGCGAGAAGCACCTTGTCGCTTCGCTTTTTTAAAAACCGCACATTTTTGCAGTGTGCCGCAGAAATCCCATACGTTCATATGTACGTGTAAATTGCGTGGGTGTTCGCCTCAAACGCATTAGCCACGCAGCTACCCGGTGCAGCTCGTGTTCGTGGCCATCCAACACAAATGTCCCTTACGTCGACTCGCAAATACGCAGCGCCTTGGAAATTACTGATCGCACCTCGTGTATGTATGATGTACAATGGTGTGCTGCGATATGACGCCCTGTTGTACGGTGTGTAAAATAAAATCCGCGAGACGCCAGAAGGATAAACGCGTTCCTCTTTGTTATTTAAATGTCTCGTTAGATTTTTCCCACCCGGCATCACTGAGTGACAGGTTTGGTGCACTGCAGTGGTTCCGTTTCGGCTTTTAATAACCTTACCCGCTATGCGTGTTGGCGCACACGCTTAACCAAGCGCCACTTCTCCAGCGCTCATTTAACTTCACCGCTATTTACGTGCAGCGGAGTTCCTGCCTTCGCCGCGCGCACATGTGTGCAGCGTTATCATGGGATAATCAGAATCATGGGAATCAGAATGCAAATATTGCAGCTTCCAACACAGCATTCATGTCAAGTGGACTATTAAATACCCCTTTAATTTTATGAACACACAACTAAAGCGAAAAACGATCCATTAATAATTGTACAAGGTTGCATATCGATACCAAAAGAACTAAGCGTTCAGAAAAAGCTTTCTCGTCGGAATCACATAGAGAAGAACTAGTTTAGACTGGATCATTCCCCCCCCCCCGCAGACACATACTCACACACCTCCCTTTCTTCACCAACCCCCTCCCCCTTCTTAGGAAAACGCAAAAGGAAAAAAGAAAGTTGAGGACGGGTTCGTTAAAAATACACAAAACGAAGCAACCGCAAAATATACGCATATAGGATACATGTATGTATTTCTGCGACGGTCGCGTGTGATTTAGTAATGCTTTTGGGTGTTTAAAAGAATATTCAGAGGCGTCTGGAGACGATGTTGCTTCTTTATTTCACAGCATCAGCACCTGCGGCTGACCGAGCAGACGGGAGGTGCCAGTGGGCATGCGCAGCGCGCTTCGACGGCGCCGCGACTGCAAGCGAAGATGGTGCCCGAGTAACCGACGAGACACTCCCCCTTTAGCGTCGGCGTAAAAGGCATCATTCCAGCAGTCAAAAGTGAACCAAGTATTTTCCTCATCCCAGTAAATTTATGCACAAAGGTAACTATAAAACCAAAAAACTTTATTCTCATTGTTATTGTGTCCATTTTTGAGCCATTTCGTTGTCATAGAGAAATATATTTTTGATGTGCCGGCAAGTCATTAAGGTCTTACTGAAGCCATACCAAGAGATTTACTGAGAATGAGTTCTCAGATGTTGAGACGGGGCAACGCAGAGGACCGGCGGCCTCACTGGCTGGGCTATTCAAGTGCCGTTTTGGGTCACTAGAGGATAGACTTCAGCTGCCAGTGTCAACTCTCCCCAAAATGCCCCCAGCGTACATCACTCTGCCTCACCCTTCACTTGCTCCCCCCTTCAGCATTACTCCTGGCGTAGACTGAGGGGCCACCAAGGGACACCCCCCCCCCCCAAGCCGAGAGAATAATGACAGTGACGACGGCCACCACCATGGACTCCTTCTTCTGTCCTCACCTCTGTGTCCATGGAATCCTCCCCCAGCCTGAAGCATCTCAAGGGGGGGGGGGGCCTTCCAAGTGCCGGTCTCCATGGCGTTGTGCTTTGCCACCCCCTCCCCCACCCCCTCTGTCCTGATATATGTGCACAAGTCATCGTACCATAACCAGCATGGGACTCTGCTTAAGAAACTGCAGAGGAACATGTGTGTCCAGACCTGAGCACAAAGTGTTGAGCGTATGTGTTCTTCACTCTCCTCAGTCACTCCCAAAGCACACAGGCTGAGTGCCGGGTGCAAGTTAGGGTGCCTGGGCTAAGGCCTGATTCACGTAGGCAAATTCTGCTCGGGATTGACCTCGTCTGCACAAATCAGTATTGCATCATACATATCATGAAAGAATTGTCATTGCCATTTTAGTGTATCCACTTAGGTTGGTAATAAAATTGATGTCACACAAGAGTAATGATGGAATATTTTAACACTAACATTTGACTACTTAACAGAAGTTTAATCGGAGTCATCTGGCACGCATTACAGGCTACTTTTACATATGTAATAAAAAGGACTGTTTTCTCTGTGTTCCTTTGCTGCCGGGTCTGGTCGTTCCACCTTCGTCTTAAGCGTTGCCCTCAGTCCAAGCTGCGATTGGAACGATGCCAGATCAGCGCCTCATAATGGAGACGGGCCCCTCCAATAGCGTCACGCACACGTACGCTTGCATATCCATGGCTCTCCTTTTATAGCAATGGGAGCTGTTGACTGATTGCTTTGAAGGAACTGATTCTCAACCCCTCCTCCAACCCCCTAACGACGGACCTTTTTTCTGGGGCCCAGACTGAGCCCCACATATCATATTAATGAGCAAATGAATGTCCATAGCATGTAGATTCTCTTAAGAAACTGGGGTGGCCTCTTCTTTCAGCTGTCAGAACTGAGAAACCGTTATTATGAATAAAATGAATAATTCCAGCAGTAAAATTACATGGTCGACATCAGTGATTAAGTATCAGTGGTTAAGGACTGAATATATGCAAACATTTCCAGACAAGTTGGAATATTTTCTGAAATGCAATTAAAACAAAAATCTGTGATTTATCAATTCATATGAACCTTTATTTAACTGACGAATTAAGTACAAAGAAAAGATTTTCAACAGGTTCACTGACCAACTTAATTGTATTTTGTAAATATACACAGAGTTAGAATTTGATACCTGCAACACGCTGAATAAAAGTTGGGATAGAGGCATATTTACCATTGTGTTACATCACCTTTCCTTTTCAGTTGTTTTGGAACTGAGGATACTAATTATAGGAATTTTTTTATTGCAATTGGAATTTTTGTCCATTCTTGCATGATGTAAGATTTCAGCTGCTCAACAGTCTCTGGTCACCATTGTCTGATTTTCATCTTCATAATGCACCATACATTTTCAGTAGGAGATAGATCTGGACTGGCAGTAAGCCAGTCAAGCACATACACTCTGTATCTACGAAGCCACGCTGTTGTAGCCCATGCAGAATGTGGTCTGGCATTATCCTGCTGAAATAAGCATGGACGTCCCAGGAAGAGATGACGCCTCGATGGCAATATATGTTCCTCTAAAATTCTAAGATACGCCTCAGAGTCAATGGTACCTTCGCATACATGCAGCTCTCCCATGCTGTGGGCGCTGACGCACCCCCATACCATCACAGGTCCTGGCTTCTGCACCTTTCGCTGATAGGAATCTGGATGGTCACTTTCATCTTTGACACGGAGAGCTCGCCACCCATCTTTTTCTGAAAACAAGCTGAAATGTGGAGTCATCTCACCACACCATATGGTTCCACAGTCTTCCGGACCAATATCAAGATCAGCTCGGGCCCAGAGAACTTGCCGGTGTTTCTGCATAGAGCTGGTGTATGGCTTCTTGCTTGCATAATACAGTTTCAAGTTGCATTTCTGGATGCAGCGATGGACTTTGTTAAGTGACAAGGGTTTTCCAAAGTACTCCCGAGGTCAGATAGCTATATTTGTTACAGTAGCACAACGGTTTCTTAGGTATTGCTCCCTGAGGGCTCAAAGATAACATTCATTCAACTGTGGTTTCCTACCTTGCCCTTTACACACTGAGATGTCTATGCAATCTTTGCACAATCTTATGTATTGTAGATGTTGCAAGACCGAAATTCTCTGCAATCTTGTGTTGAGGAATGTTGCTTTTGAACTGACCAACAATTGTCACAGGAATTTTGGCACAAAGGGTGATGACCCATCCTTGCTTGCATTTAAACGATGCCCAATTGGCACTAAGGTGCCTAAAGTGTGCCAAGAAAACATCCCCCACACCATTACACCACCACCACCAGCCTGCACAGTGGTAACAAGGCATGATGGATCCATGTTCTCATTCTGTTTACGCCAAATTCTGACTCTACCATTTGAATGTCTCAACAGAAATCGAGACTCATCAGACCAGGCAACATTTTTCCAGTCTTCAACTGTCCAATTTTGGTGAGCTTGTGCAAATTGTGGCCTCTTTTTCCTATTTGTAGTGGAGATGAGTGGTACCCGGTGGGGTCTTCTGCTGTTGTAGCCCATCCGCCTCAAGGTTGTGCGTGTTGTGGCTTCACAAATGCTTTGCTGCATACCTCGGTTGTAACGAGTGATTATTTCAGTCAAAGTTGCTCTTCTATCAGCTTGAATCAGTCGGCCCATTCTCCTCTGACCTCTAGCATCAACAAGGCATTTTCGCCCACAGGACTGCCGCATACTGGATGTTTTTCCCTTTGCACACCATTCTTTGTAAACCCTAGAAATGGTTGTGCGTGAAAATCCCAGTAACTGAGCAGATTGTGAAATACTCAGACCGGCCCATCTGGCACCAACAACCATGCCACGCTCAAAATTGCTTAAATCACCTTTCTTTCCCATTCTGACATTCAGTTTGGAGTTCAGGAGATTGTCTTGACCAGGACCACACCCCTAAATGCATTGAAGCAACTGCCATGTGATTGGTTGATTAGATAATTGCATTAATGAGAAATTGAACAGGTGTTCCTAATAATCCTTTAGGTGAGTGTATATACATATATATCACCTCTAAGAAGGCACTGAGACAGAGGACCAAGAAGACCATAAGATGACGAAAGTCCAGGAGAGCTTCCTTCTGCATCTGCCCTCTCGGTTCCTGGGAGTGTTGGATTTGGCATGCTGGGCTTCAGGGATTGTGAAGGACAATTCAGGTGACATCTGCAGAAGCCATTGAGTCTGGTACACAGACCACCATTATGGCAATGGGGCATAATTAAGACCATTCTGCTCACAGAGACCACTCAGGTGCATATCGATACCAAAAAAACTAAGCATTCAGAAAAAGCTTTCTCGTCGGAATCACATAGACAAGGTATGGTGCTTCAGTCGGTAGCACTGTTGCCTCACACCTCCAAGGTTGGGGGTTTGACTCCAAAGATCTATGAAATCTTGGGCATTCTTAACGATGCCTTGATTCTTTTAGGACAGAATCCCATTAATGAATGAATTATTGATCTTCTATTTTTGTCCCATGATTTTTTTTCTTTTTTAATGTTGGTGAGTCTGTGATTCCAAAAGAACAACTTCATACGTGTAATGGATCAACTGCAGTGATAACTAAGATCTTTCAGCACCCCTGGGAGGTCTTTACAGAAGGCCAACATGTCAGGGTTTGCTGCGGATTCCAGGATGTGCCGCATGTTTGCTTTAAGTGTAGTGAGGTCAGGAGGTCAGTAGACGGCCTATGATCTTTGTGTAATTATGTCCAGGTTTGCATTCCAGAGTGGCCCTCCCTTTCCCCCCCCCCAGGGCCTTACAAAGGCACCAGCACAACAGTGCAGTAGGGGCACCTTTCTCACTTTGGCGCTACCATGACGTGGGAAGCAGAATCCTGTGTGCATGACTCTGACTCCTATTGGGTGGAGGTCACATGTGCGCCTTCAGCCCCGGGAGCCAATCAGAAAAAGTGGCACCATGGTGACATCAAACCTTTACTGGTTGATTTATGGCTAAAGAAAGAGAGTGTGACTGACAATATCTAAAGTAAGTGACATATGTACTGAATATATATCACCTTTCATAAACATTTACTCGCTACAAGGAGCCTATCCCAGGAAACAGGAGATATACAAGGAAGGGGACGCCCTGGACGAGATTCCATTCCACAGCAGGATACACATATATATATATATATATACACACACACACAGACACACATATATACATAAACATACACAGAGGGACCTGTAATCATATCTTTGTGGGGACCACTCATTCATTTCTTCAGGAAG